TGAGATTCACTAGATTCATGGGACTCACCGGCTGTATGTTGAGGGGGTCCGTGACGACGGTCTACTGAGTGCTCTGCCTGTTTTGGAAGTTCAGCAAGTAACTTTGTTTCAAGAACCGCAATCCTTTGTAGAAGTTTGCAGTAGTTCATGCAGCAAGTAGATTCAACAGGAGGCATTTTCTTTCTCTTCTGTTTGAATGTAGACAGCTGTGTTTTCCCGTCTCCGGAATGTAAGCTGCTGGCAGTGGGAGGCAAAAGTCTTCTTTTTCGTGGTATTATTCCAGTCCCAGGCAAAGTCTTCTTTTCCGTGGTATTATTCCAGTCCCAAAGAGTTTTTAGTTTTAGTGTTAGTGCCAAAAATGTGTTGTTTGAGCACTGTGCTGATCTGCTGAAGTAAAAATTTTAGAAAAATCTGAGAAAAGTACAGAAATAGGAAGCCAAGCGCAGAGCAGTAAGCAAGAACGTCCGAACGGTAGTGAAGCCGGAAGCAGATTCCTATACTCTAGATTAGAGTATAATACATTTTAAAATGTTCATAATCAGATACAGTTACTTTTTTATGGATTACATAATTACATATTATTTACACAATAGCAGTAAATTATTCATAATTGATTGATTCTCCCTAATTATTCTTTTGTCTCTCTTAAATTTTCATTTTTAAAAATCCTACTGTGTATCATATAATTTAGCTTTGACTATTACAAATGTAAATAAATTTGCAAACCATGCCTCTGAATTTTGGGGGAAAGCACCTCTCAAGCAATTAGATAATAAAAGAAAAATAATTATGCAAGTTACTAAACACTGGTGAAACACTATGTCGTCATCATATCCAGTGAAATTCAATAACTGTTGATTCTCTGGAAAAAATATTTCAAACCTGGAAGACTTTGGACATGTAATGTCATTGTTGTTTTCAAGATTCCCAAACTTTTTTGTCAGTCAAACCCCTCAAAATAAAATGTTTAGGCTATTAGAAATATCTCTAAGAAAGTTATTATTTCAACAATTTACCCACACAATTTTGTTTTTTACAATTATCTGACGTCGTTTAATGGTCACATTGATATGCAGGTAAACAAATAAAACATTTTTTGTTATTATTTATTTTTTTCAAGTTTTTAAATTATTTTTTTTATTTCACATTTTTATGATTTAATTATTAGCTTTTTTTCAACTCACAAACCCACTGCAGTTCTCAAATTAAGCTGAGTTAGGGAAACCCTGGTGTAATGTAATGTTTAATGCATTTTATAATGTTGATGTAAAAAAAATTCTCTCTCTTTTTTCCATTAATATGGCACGTTTAAAGGGGTCATATGATGCGATTTCAATTTTTCCTTTCTCTTTGGAGTGTTACAAGCTCTTGGTGCATAAAGAAGATCTGTAAAGTTGCAAAGACTAAAGTCTCAAATCCAAAGAGATATTCTTTATAAAAGTTAAGAGTCAACCACGCCTACCTAAAACGGCTCGTTCTAACACGCCCCCACATGTCTACGTCACGATGTGGGAAGATTTGCATAACGCCGCCCAAATGTTCACGCAAAGAAAGAAGGCGTAACTTTTATTTTCGCTGTAGTATTGTTGCTGCCGCCGCCGCCATGTCGTGAAAGCGCAGTGTGTTTCATTGTGAAAGCGAAACTACTTTGTTTGGCCTTCCAAAAGAGGACGATATCCGCTTCGTCATACCTGGAGCTGATCCGTCCTGGGGTTGTCACATGTGGTTGCCGCAAGCCCTCCGGACGCTCCTTCGTCGAATCCGCCGGCCACGCCGTTCTCAAACCCGCCCGCCTCCACTCACTCAAGCCCGCCCGCCGCCACTCACTCAAGCTCACTCTAGAAAAACGATATTTTCCTCTTTTATCTTCCATTTCTATCTATAATCGATCTGCTAATTTCCATCCTGTGCACTCAAATTGAGCGTTCTCTTCTCTCTGTCATAACAAGACACGCCCCTTACTGCTGATTGGTTGCAAGTGTGTTTTGGGACACAGTCCGAGTGCGGTCAAAAGCGTTTTTCAAAAATTGCTTAGTGCACCTTTAATTTTGTGTATCATGTAAAACTTATCATGCAAATTAAATGTTAAAATTTTCTACTTATGATAATTTACGAACTAAATAACAGTGATTGGCCAATCAGAACTCGGTACTGTAACAAGCTGCGCACAAGCTGAAGCAAGTTTTCGTGCAAAATGGTTCAAGCGAAACTTTTGACGTTCTTTAAAAAGAAGACAACAGAAGGTATAAGTTTTAAAGACATTCCCCTGACATAATGTTGTTGTGCTGACTGTGAGGGACTGAGAGATGATATGAGAGCTGACATTATCGACTTTGCAAACAAACAAACATGTCTTGAGTGTCCAAAAGCATTCACTGCGCGATGAAGCCAATGCAGTTAGAATGTCCTTATAATTCAAGCAATGAAAGGAAAAATACCCATGAAATTTTGTTTCTATTTTCACTGAGCAAGCAATGTACTTTTCTGAATATCAGCACATATGCACAAGAACAAATGTGCTATTAATTTTATATAACAGTGCATAGTAACACAGTGTTTCGTTCCTTGAATTAATCTGTTTTTGAATGAATCGAGTGAGCCAGTGGTTCAATGGGTTCAGGTTACTTGTGCTGCGTCCCAATGTGCCTACTTATACTACGCCCTTAAAGTATGTACTCTTTTGATGAAGAAAAAGTACACACTTTTGAGTGTGTAGTAGAAGAGTAGTCAAGCTTTGGGACATACTATCACGTCACACAGTAGCATCTTTAAAGGGGTCATATGATGCGATTTCAATTTTTCCTTTCTACCACCTCTCTCGCGAACTGTCAGAAGAAATATGTTTCTTTTTACCGTTTCCACAACGGAATCTATCCACCTTATTAATAACTGCAGCCTCCTCATCCTCCTCATTTTTCGGGATTTGTAAAATGTCCCGCGACTGAAAATGGTTTTCAAAAGAAAACCCACCACTTCAGGTCGACTTTGCACCGGGGCCATCCTCAGCAGACTTATTGAAATATTGCGCGGGCAAGACAGATCCGATCAGTTATCCAGATAGAGAAGTCAGTTGATGTTGCCAAGTGTAAACGTGCCGTGCCCTGATTGACTGATCCACGGTGATCGCACGTTAATGCAGTGTAAAGTGTAAACGCAGCCAATAATGTACATTATGTGGAAAATAATGTTTTTTTAACCTTAAACCGCATAAACACATTGCATTACACCAAATACACAAAATATTTGTGATATTTGTGAGAACAAGACATTCTCTATCTTTTTAGCAACGCCATATATGACCCCTTTAAAGGACCACTCTATCGCACCTGTTACACTCACCCTGTCACTGTAAACTGGCCTGTCAATCATCTTGTCACAGTTAACATCCTCCACATTTCATTTCATTTAACTTCCTACCGTACTGGAGAGAAAAGAAGTAGCTCGTTGAGATTGAGGCAATTTTAGATTAGCGTGTGCACGGATCCACACTTCATAAATCGACCTGAAATAGTAGACCATCAAACTCTTTTCAACATACTATGCTTTGGGACACACTTATTATAATCTCACATACTATTTAGGATGGATAGTATGAACATTGGGACGCAGGGTTGTTTTGCTTCTAATTGAATCAGCCGTTTTGAACGAATCGTTTGATTCAATAAATCAATTATTAAAACAGGGACTTTCTGACACCTACTGGTGGTTTTAATGTCATATTCATTTATCAATGACAGTTGTAAACCAGCCAAGGTGCCAGCACAAAAACACATTCAGCAAAATATTGTTTAACTATCAATATTGACCAAAATTCCTTTTTTTACAATTCTACCACTGGATATAAGTGTATTTTTAAACACTTTATATGTCTTATTTATCAATGACAGTTGTAAACCAGCCAAGGTGCCAGCACAAAAACACATTCAGCAAAATATTGTTTAACTATCAATATTGACCAAAATTCCTTTTTTTTACAATTCTACCACTGGAAATGGGTATTTGTCATTAAGCTATTAGTTGGGCAGACTTGGACTATTGGCCACATAGTCTATACCTCTGAGTCAAAAATCCAGTTGCATGAAAACCAGGCCATTCTTCTCAAATCAGTGGCAATCAATCCGCATGACAACGTGCCCCCCATATAGTGTGAAAATACAACCTAATTACAGGGTCAGTGTATGTTAAACAAGTGTGTGTGTCTGTCTGTGTGTTTCTTAATAATAAAGTTTTAAAAACTACTTACTTTTTACAAGGGCTGGTTCAGTAACTAGTTTTGAGTCAGAACTCTAGTTAACAAATTTGTGTGTTTATGAGTAGTAATTTTGTATGACGGTTTCAAACACTCGGGCCAAGTAGTCTTAGATTAGAATAATGTTTGTGAGTTATGACCTTAATAATAAAATCCTTATATATTTTTATGAACTTCTGGGTAAACAAGATCACACAAAAAAAAAAAAAATCACTCTGACTAACATTATACAAGAGATGACTGTGAAATGGAGGTTCTAACTGAAAAGGCAAATGGCAAGTCTGGACATGTTATAAAAGTTTCAGTTTTATAGTTAAGCAATATCAGGCTGCCTGCTAATAGTCAGTAATACTATTAGCACTGTATACTGCGGTATTACTAGTATGAATAATGTGAATGCGGTATTACTTTTATACAACAGTTCAATAAACAAGACATTAATAATCAACCATTGTTTTTTTTTTCGAGCAACACACAAGTAGTGGTGTTTCATTCCTAAATTAATCAGTGGATCACTCATATTAAGACAGTCACTTGTCGCCACCTACAGGCCAAATGATAGCACAACCTGCACAAGGCTTACTGGATTTCATGATCCAGACACAGTACTCAGGTCAATGTCTTTAAACACCAGATTGTGACAGTTTATCCCTTATGGAGTGACAACAATGGGTTAATGTGAGTTCAGTGAACTATTTTTTTTAATTATTATTATTTAGCAATGTGTGTCAATACAGAAATGGGCTTCCTTTTTCTCTTGTATGTTTTTAAACTAAACGAGGCATTTTTCCTTAAATAGATCATCTAAAAAATACTCTGACTTCTAATTTCAAAACCACTTACACTTAAAAAGTAAGGCTCATCTTACTGAGTGATTTATTGTTTACTGTGCACTTTATTTGAACCATCTCTAGAGTGAAAGCCCGTTTCATTGGTTTTGCACATTCACTCACTTTATTAACTTGGTCACTTTTCACGTTGCAGTTAATGAAAAGAGCCAAACAGTCACCACTAGAGGGCAGACGTGCGATTAGAGTGCGACAAAACATGGCGATATCGGGTGACAGAAATAGTGACTATAATACTTACGAGTTACATGAATAATTATGGATTACATACATTGAAAATATCAAATTAACACTTGAATATTTAATACTTTGGCGGTCATAGCACAGCACAACTGGTCTAAATTAGAATTGGAATCTAAATCAATACTTGCAAGCATAGATAGAAATAGATAAATTAATGAACACTTTTAAGATCATATGATTGTCTTTTTGGTTGACTGAGAGTTGTTTTAATAGCTCATGGAGATTCAGTATTGGCTTTATCTTCTTCCTCTGCAGGATAGGCCGTGCTGTCATGTTCTTTATTATAGTAAAACTTAAAGAAGATGTTCTTCCATCCCATGACATTCGCCAGCATCTCCATGTCTTCAGTTATCATATCACAATGACCCATCACAGCCTGCCTCCAGATCTCCTCCGAGTTACACAGCTGGACACACATGCACATTAACAGATTAATAAAAATACATACCATACTCTATAATTTCTGTAGCACAAATAATGCAGGACAAGTTACAACATACTGTAAATACAACATACTTACAACATACTGTAAATACTTATTAAAGGTTCATTTATGAGCAATAGTGATGCTTTCCTTTGCAGTGACCACTACTAGTAAATCACTTACAATGTTTCAGTTACAGATATGATCTGATTGACATGCAACCTCGCTCAAAAAGCAGAGGAGAAAGGGACAGGGTATTGGTCTAACCTTCCTAAACCTGCTTGAGGTTTGGCTGAGGTGGCCAATGTCCTGTAAGGATATGCAGGAAAGGATTTTAAGGAGCAGCTTGTCAGGTAAACGTTCCAGGTAGTCAACATGCCCTCGACACAGAGCCAAAGTGTAGTCCAGAATCCTGGTGCCAAACACTGCAGCTAGCTGCTCTAAAAGCACGAATGACATTCAAGATTACAACTCAGATTACATAATTTAGCTGAAGAATAACAAAAGCTGGATCTTTACCCTGCAACCTTGCATCATTCAAAAAGTCATTGTGGAACTGTTTTATCTCTCCAGGTGGTGCTCCTCTGAATTCAGACCGAACTGAAATCTTCCACCACCTCCAAATAACCTGTTGGTAATTAAGGGTTAGGAAACAGTATGCCTAATATGACTAACAAAAATTCCAGCTATAACCACTTTTGGGAAAAAAATTAAATGTGTCAGTACCCGTATTTTTGGTAAGTTATTATGACTGATGACAAGATATTTAACATCACATCCATTTTGCTGATCAGATATGAGAGACAATTGTTTTTTGCAATGCAGGTAATATAAAAATTGACCACCACGTTTACATTTTTGTCCCTTATAGTAATTCCAGAGAAATTATAATTTCATGTACTTCTAAATACCTCCTTTTGTGTGATAACAAACTGGTAGAAGTCTTTAGAGGGAGGTGGGCCTTGTCCAGCGGTTTCAAACAGTATCTCACTCAGCAAAGACGCCATATTTTGACGCTTAGTGGTTACCATGACAACAGACACACCAAAAGGATCTCTTTTCCTACGCAAATCGATTTTATGCACATGTCGTCACATCTGTTTTGTCCGAAACACATACGATAAACAGTCTAAAATAATAATTAAAAAGTTTACTTCAAATTATGTAAGGGTGAACGTTGTTTTTAAGATGGTGGTAATGGGGGGGGGTCACGACCTGGCGGATTGATATGATGAAATCCTGACGTACGTATCTGATGCACTAGTGATAAATTCATAAAGCTCGGGGTTAATGATGAAACGACCCGTTCGCAGTAACTCCAATGGGCGTTATTATCGTCGGCACGGCGGTAGGTAAGGCTTTACCGCCCCGGTTGTTCTCGTAAATCGTTGTTCTATAGTGTGGGAAGTAGTGCGTGGCGGAAGCACGGAGCGGAGGTGACGCGGCAGTTCGCAGGTCGCTCAGCTGATGAAGGTAAAGCTGCTGCTGCTGCACTGTGTTTAACAGCTACTACAACACTGGAACAAATAGGTAATTATAACAACATATATATATATATATATATATACATATATAACTTCAATGTCCGGGAATCGTCGTACATCATATGCGCATCGCAGCCCTTCGTGTGAATCAGGAGCCGTGTAATATGAGTGAGAAAAGCCAGACGAAAGAAAAAATGGTTTCCAGTTGTCATCCCTCGAGCCCTTTTCCTGTTTCCCTTGTTTGTTTTTTAGTTTTATATATTTAAGGAGGACACTTTTTGGCATTAATGTAATGGTAGGTGCAATAAACCACTCGAATCCTTTTTAACAACCTTTGTGAGGTTTCGAGAGGGAATTGAGACTCGTTTACATCCCTTTGGAAAAAAATATACATGCCGTTATAACCATAAGACCAGCATCTGAATTGTGCAACGTATATGACGACTGATTTTCTGTTGTTTTTGTTAGGTTTTTAAGGGATGGGCCGTTTTAGAAATTTTTAAGACATTAATAATAATATAACGGCCCACGAACTAGAAGGTAACGAGAACTGAAAACTGAATACAAGTTTCTGTTTATTTCACCTTCTTTATTTATTGGTAATATCACGAAACGTCTTATTGAAACGAAGGAAGACTGCATCCATCACAAGTGATGATTTTCCTGTGCTAACCGGTCGTGTTCAGGTGAAATGTTGATTAGTGTAGTTTGCTGGTGCTGCTAGTTTGTTTACGTCTTCAGTCACTTTGACCTGATCTTGCCCGCATACACGTCGACAGGAGACCGGCTTTGCTCTTTAGCTTTAACATATGTAGGCCAAATACTGACAACAACGGTACAATCTTTCCCTTTTTAGTACTATTGTGATTATTGTTCACGTTATACTGTGTTTTGTCTTTGCTGTTGTAATTAAGACCGGTTATTTGTTGATATTCGCTTGTCACGCTTCGTCCCTTCAGCAGATTAGCATTGGTTAGCCGTGCTAACAGGGTTAGCACCATAGACGGCTTAAAACAAAACTGGACGATTTTTCTCATTCAGCACTGGAAACTAATGCCAGGCTGTCTGTCAGTCTTAAAAGTGTTGTTAATTTATGAGTAACTTAATACAATGAGGTTTTTGAGTGTTTTATTTAACTTGGCGTGGCTAGCGTGATGGCTAGCATTAGCTGATCATGATTGTCACTTTGACTCGGTGAACTTCACTTTATTTCACTCTCCATCGTGTGTTGTTTTCTGTATTGCTTTGCAGCAGCCGTGGCAACGTAGTTTTGAACGTTTATGCGTTTTTATATGACGACCACAGATGATTTGAATGAGCAAATCGACTGTGCAGGGCCACAAAACGCGAGACCGGTGTGTAAGGCCTCGGAGTGCGAAAATCAACTAATCTTAATGCATTTTGTTTATTTGTAACGAACTAAACGCTTACATGTTTTTGTGAAGGGATGTTTCGTGTGGTTCGGTTGTATACGTATAGTAAGTGGGTTTCGGTTGATAGGAGTTTGTTTCATGGACTGGGCAAAATAAACAAAAGGATCGACTCAGGCCTGTTCTGAGAACGGCCTTCATAATCATGTCGTATTTTCATGTCAACAGTCCAAATACACACACCAGCACAAAACTGCGCTTGATCGCGTCTAATGACAGGTTTGTTTTGTTTTTGTAGTCATTTGAAGGGATTCAGCTCGTAATCATCGATATCAGCTCACCCTCACTTCAGGGAAGTAGAAGTCTCAGTAGTGTGCACAGGGTATTTTTGACATGTTTGGGGCAGTTCGTCGATTGTTTGACGTATTGGTCGAAATGAACTCTTTTCTTGTTCAGTTCTATACATTTTTGAGCTTTGAATCGTATATTTGACGTCTAGTATTTTGAATGTCATGGACGTTGTTTAGCTTGCTGAAGTAGCGTTTAATGGTGGTGTCGTTGTGAGGAGGAAGGCCTGTCGTCTCGTTTAATTAAACACAAATATTCCTCATATCCTCACTTTTAAACTGTATTTGGTTTGTTAACGGCTGCCTTTCAAAACCTCGCGAGCTGACGACATAGACAATATTTTTATGCTTCACGGTCGCGTTTCGGACGTTCAGTTCGAGTGTGTGTGTGTATGTATTGTATGTGCATATGTTCACTCGTAAAACGTTAGTGATATGGTATAAATACTTGCTTTATTTCGTCGATTGTTTGACGTATTGGTCGAAATGAACTCTTTTCTTGTTCAGTTCTATACATTTTTGAGCTTTGAATCGTATATTTGACGTCTAGTATTTTGAATGTCATGGACGTTGTTTAGCTTGCTGAAGTAGCGTTTAATGGTGGTGTCGTTGTGAGGAGGAAGGCCTGTCGTCTCGTTTAATTAAACACAAATATTCCTCATATCCTCACTTTTAAACTGTATTTGGTTTGTTAACGGCTGCCTTTCAAAACCTCGCGAGCTGACGACATAGACAATATTTTTATGCTTCACGGTCGCGTCTCGGACGTTCAGTTCGAGTGTGTGTATGTATTGTATGTGCATATGTTCACTCGTAAAACGTTAGTGATATGGTATAAATACTTGCTTTATAATGGCATTGTCGTAGTCTTGAATGAAAACGGCAACAAAAACCTATTATCTCCTCGTAGAAAATCAGCAAACTGAATCTGTGGGATTTACAAAAACTGAATAGTGAATGTATTCATATAAAAGAAGGGAGCTGAAAAGGCAAAATTAGTAATGCATTAAATAAACTAAGTTTATTAGGTTAAATGTGTTCCATCCGTGTCAGTGTGGCTGAATGTGGTTAGAGACCCTTTTTATAATCTTTAAAGTAATCTAGAGGTTATATAGCTTAACTAGGTCTATTCAGTCTTTCTGATTATCTTTTCATTGAAGATTAGTTCTTTGTCTTTGTAAAATGTCTTGCATATTGTCAGAGAATGACACATATGGCATCGATTTTGATTACTGAACAAAATGGCTGCCAGCTTAGTCTGCAGTAGTAATTTAATTCATCTCTGATTTTACGTTGTCATCATATAATGGAATAAAACATTTGACTAAAATCAAGGTTTTTTTTCCCCCCTCCCTCCTTCCCCCATTATTGTCCCTCTTGTCGCCCTAGGCTGCTGGTTGGGGCATTTGCACACGGCTGGTAAGTTTGCATAGCGCTTGCCGTTACCTTCATGCTGACAAGATGGGTCCAGTGAGGGACAGGTGTGGTGGAGATGGGGGTTAAACAGGAAATTGACAATCTTGGTTTGGCAGTTAAGTTTCTTAACATCCAGAATATATGGCTTGTGCAGGTGAAGCTGTTTTTCACATTATTCAGGTTCTGTGTTTTTAGTGTTTTAGGAGTCTAGCCCTTAGATTTGGTGTATGTGGAAAAACTTAAGCAGTTCAGTGTGAAGATGAAGTGGTAGTTCTACCCGAGTGAGTTAATGGTCTTCCAGCTGACTTAAAAAAAGCAGCATAATCTAGGCAATCACCTAGTGCACCTTGCTGCACCTCTGAGACGGACTTCCTTTTTAACTCTTATTTTCAAACCCTCTAATCTAATCACCTGTCATAGAGACCAATTTTCATGATCCGAGCAGTTCCTGATGGATAAATAGAAAAGGTCTGTTTGAAGAGTCAAAGTATTTATTCGTTTTGGACTCTTTGAATGAGAGTACAGTTTCTCCTGTATGAAAGGTTTGCTTTTGCTTTTTTATTCTGTCTCTCAGCAGGCCTCAGGACCAGCTTTAGTTTACTTGATTATTTGATTTGGGCTGTGGAGCTGATCCTGTGTCGGTTATGACAGGGGTAAAGTAATTAAAGCCATTTGTTTCTCCTCCCAGAATGGAGTCGGTGGTAGTGCCAAGCAAGCAAAATTGTAGGAACAAGCATATTTCAGATGACTGAATATTTAGATTAACGTAGTGTATTTGAATAACAGTAGCCTATTCGGACAGTTTTCCCCTCTTTTTTAATAATGGAATTAACATTAGATGTAAGGCATTTGAAAATCAAGCAGATAGATTTATAAAATACTACAGGAAGCCAAAAAAGGGAATTGTGAATCCCATGAACTGGGTGTTACAATTACTTTATTTGTTAGCGATCGTTACATGATTTTTTTAACCTGTGGGCTGTTCTGTTCTTCAACATGATTGTGTAATAACAGTTTGGTTCTTGGAAAAGTTAAGTTGAGTGTCTGAGCCTATTGGTTGTAAAATGCTACTTTTGAATGCATTGCAGTGGTTACGTGATACCTTGAGCAAGTCATTTAACCGTTTAAGGGTTGGATGCCGTAGCACACCATGGCAGTCATTTTTCTCTTCATTCCTAAAATTAGGCAACAGGATCTTTTTAATGTAGATCTTTATAAATGACAACTTTTGTAGTATAGATCAACTTTGCAGATCTTTCAAGACGTAAGACAAGCATGTATGATTGTGAGAATTTGCACTAGGGATATGCCGGTATCAAATTTTCATGTTGCGATTAATTGCTAATGCTTTTATCACGGTATACGGTATTATCACAATATTAAAATTTAGTTTAAAAAAAAAGTTAGCTCATTAAATAACACAGCTGCAACTCTCGATTTTAACATGTTGTTATTAAATATTGAAATAACTAAGATTAATGAAAGTTCAGAAGAATTTTTAATTGGCAGTTTGTTAACTAATGAATTAACTAATGAAGCCCTAATGTAAAGTGTGACCGAACAATAAAGAATCAAAACACTTTCAAACAATATCTAGGGCATGTTGTAGTCCAAATTAAAATGTAAAAAAAGTTTGAAAATAAATAGCCTATTAAGTCTAAATATTTAAGTATTTGGCGCTGTGATGAACATCATAGCAAATACACAAACCTGAATGGCTGTTTAAATCATTTAAACCAGATTCAGAAACAGAAAGTAGTGCAGCTGCTTTGTTTACAGGGTTTCCGGGGTAAAGGCTGCATTTAAATGAATTATTATTATTATTACTGCAGTTTAGATTATTTCTGCAGTTTAGCGCCATCCGCTGTCAGAGAGTGAAAGTGCGCTTTCATCCAGAGCGTCTCACATGTTCAGGGATACCGGGGTAACGGCTGCATTTAAATGTGTTATTATTATTATTTCTGCAGTTTAGCGCCATCTGCTGTCAGAGAGTGAAAGTGCGCTTTCATTCAGTGCGTCTCTCACATGTTCCGCCATGTGCCTCTCGCTCGCGCTTGTTTACATCAGAGTGCGCACGCATCTTTCATGCAGCATACGGCGGTGTTGTGCATTTTGACCAGTTGACTGGAAAATTATTCTTAAAATGCATTCAAAATTCGGAATAATTTGTAATATATAATTATTCACGGTATTTAGAAGTGCCCACGATAACAATATCGTGCATATTCATTACCGTGATATATCGCATTACCGAATACCGGCACAAGTCTAATTTGCACGCATAGGATTAAGAATTATACTATTTTAGCTGTTAATCAGTCTGGATATGTTCTCTTATCCATGCCTAACTTGCACCTAGAAAATGTTCAATTTCCAAAATTGAACTACCCTAAAATTTCCTGTATGATTCCTTTCATGTGTGAGCATATTTGTATGCGTGTATAGGCCTAAATGTATGTTCTACTCCTCAACACTTATAAAAATGGAAAAAAAGAACGATTTAATCCCGTTAGCTTCCATTTTCATGAATCCATCATCTTAAAACTCTCCTGTAGCCTTATAGTGTGCTTCCAGTGTATCCACTGTGGGTTTTGAAATCTGGTTTTCATTAGTTTCACTGTACTAGTCATTTCCAGTTGCCAGAGGTCAAATTGACAACAATGTCATTTGTTGTCAAGCCATGAATCAACTTGACCCTAGAGTTTGAGCATGCTGTCCTGAGAGGATCTGTGTTTAGCGGCAGGAGCATCCATATTTAAAGTGACATATTTGGCCTGAGAAAAATGTATCTAGGTTAAAGGGTTAGTTCACCCAAAAATGAAAATTAGCCCATAAATTACTCACCGTCAAGTCATCCTTAGGTGTATATGACTTTCTTTTTTCAGATGAGTCCAGTCGGAGTTATATTAAAAATGGTCTTTGATCTTTCAAGCTGTTTAATGCCACTCAGCGGGTGTTGCATGCATCAGTCCAAAAGAAGTTAAATAAAAAGCGCCCATCCATAAAAAAAGTGTCTCACACGACTCCGGGGGGTGAACAAAGGCCTCCTGTAGCGAATCGATGCGTTTTTGTAATAAAAATATCCATATTCAAAACGTAATAATCGCTTTAATGTAGCTTGCGCCAACAGTTGTACACGGAAACAGCTCCGGGCTGATGACGTATGAGGTCAGGTTTGCGCATGCGCCGTTCAGAAGTGACGAACGCGGAAGCGCAGGGGAGAGATCAAAACAAAACAAAGGTCACTTATTAGAAGTACAAAACGAGGATTTGTAAAGAAGAATGTCAGAGGATTTCGATATAAGCCAAGAGGAGACTGGTTTTCCTTTGCTAAAGTAAGGAAAATTTGCTTCCTTTGCTCCTGTTAACAAACGTTGGTTTTCACGAGACTCACCGGTGCATGCGCAACGCTGAACTCATACGTCATCAGCCCGGAGCTGCTTCCGTGTACAACTGTTGGCGCAAGCTTCATTAAAGTGATAATTACGTTTTGAATATGGATATTTTTATTACAAAAACGCATCGATTCGCTACAGGAGGCCTTTGTTCAGCCCCCGGAGGATACTCGTCAGATTAAGCAGTGTTTCTAGATTCTTGTGAATCTGATTTACTCGTCACCTCCCACTTTTGTACCTGCTACAGAATGTGTTTTCCACTCCAGCTTATGTTTGTGGTATGAGGCTTAGCAACAGCTCTTTACTATAAATGTTATATTGTACTGTGGGAACCCTCAGTGTCTTCTCACTTTCCTCCCAACAGTTCACATTGTAGGTGAGTATTTGCTCAAAATGATCATTTAATTCCATTTGAATGCTAGTCAAAAAAATATCCGGTTATGTATAGATGGCAAAAGAGTTTCAAAGCAGCACTTGTCAGAATCAACACCCACAGATTTTTGCTCAAAGCTCAGCAGTGTTTCCGGTGGATAGAACACCCATCATTCAAAAAAAATATACACCCCTGCCCTTTAGTGTTTATTTTTAAATTATTATAATTGAGTTTTGACCAGACTATGTGAGCGGAGCGGCGTGATTTTGCCTGGAGCTAGGAGTGGATTTTTTGAAAGTCGGAGCGTTGAGGTTTTCACTCGCTCCGAGAACGCTCCGCTACCGCTCCGTCACCGCTCCGTCACGAGCACAAATTATGCCAACTCACGCATTAAACATAATTAGTTAGCTTGACAGATATGTGGATCACATATGAAGGTTAAAATGGCGATGGACGAGTGCGGGAGGTTAAAGCATGTTGTAAGTAGTCTAGAGTTTGTTAATCTCCGCTCGAAACTAATGGGCTGCTACATTGCTGCACACGGACAGAACACACAAGCTCGCACATAACGTACAGATCGTGCACATACATTCAGGAATTAAGAAAATTTGGTCAACGCTGTCCTGTGATTTATCAGCTTAAAAACTGAGAAGTTACAGCATATTCTTTCTGTTTCTGAAGTAACTACCCTCAGCTTCGCCATAGTAGAGAGACGTTACACAGACAAGTAAGCTAAGTGAGTTATGCAGTCATTTAATATGGACTTGGGCTAATTGTAGTGTTCCAATAAACCATGTTAAAACTATTCTAGTATTATGCATTTATTTTAATATAATTTCTGAACAGAACTTTATTTTTCATAGTGAAACAATTTAGCCGCGGAGCGGTGTTTCTGATCAGTGGAGCGGGAGCGGGAAATGGTGAACCTGGAGCGGAGTGATTATTGAATGCTTGGAGCGCGGACGGGAAATTGTTGCTGCTCCACTCCGCTCACATACTCTGGTTTTGACTTACTGTTTCTTAGCAGTTTTCCTGAAAGTAGCGCTCTCAGAATAATGGTCTGCACAGTTTTATACCGATTATGCCCTAATAAATAAATAAATTTTGTTCTTTTATCAGGAAAAGGTTAAAAACACATTTCACTCTGCATGTGAACACCTTTAGCAGCATTCTGTCAGTTTGTTCAATTGTTAGTTTTTGTGTTGTCTTGAACACTGAACAAAAAGTAAATTGGT